GTTAGGAGGTTAGTAAAATTATTTTTCAATATAGATGCTGTCGAGTTCATTTCTATATGAACCAATATGTAATCATTTTTCATGTCAGTGTCTCATTTTCTAGTGCTATGTTGTTACATTTTCTAGATGGTTTCCAGTATAGAAAATTTTACTATGTTTATTCTATGTATTGTATATACATCTTTAAAGTATATGATTGGATTATAAAAAACAATTATCCATTGATTGAAATATGGAAGCATGTGTAATCATGAAAAATGTATTTCGTACTACACATTTCAAAAACCATAGTGACAATCTCACATGCACCCACTCCTGTTATCTAAAAGGAGTCTCACGCAATCAATCTGTATACGTAACAATATATGTATGCTGTAGTGTAATGATACAATCATTATTTTTTATTTATTTTTATCTTTATCTAATTCTGTGGTTTCAACTATTAAAGTCCAGGTTGAACAAGCACCCTGTTGCTCCTACAAACAAGATTGCTACAAAGCTATTAGATCAAGTCATCAATGTGATTACACCGTAAGTGGAGATCTCTTTAAAGGTTTCAAATCAATCTCGTGCTCATGTAAATTTACTGTTTAACACGTCCCATCGAAATCAATAAATAGTATTTCATGTTAATTATCATGGTGAACATTTCCAGCAAATGAACTAATATTTGTGCCATTTCTATTCAATTTAAGGAAATCACACCCCAAGTACACATCCATCAAACAATTTATATCATATAACTAGTATTGAAATTTTTGTTCCACACCTATTATAATTGTTTTATTTTTCACACAATTTTTATATTGTGCATCTATGTATTAAGCAGGTATAATCAATATCAAAAGCTACAAATTTTATGTGTTTAATGATGGGAGGAATGCCCTGATGTTGACGACGTGGGCTATATTCGACGAATGGTTTGAAGAAGGTTATAGGCCTGCACAAATGTCAGTATATATCTTATGTTACAATATATCATGAAAATCAACTAAATTATAAATCGCTCACACGATACATCTTTTTTCAACAAATTCCAATTTTCATATTTGAAAGACATCATCAATCCACAATTCCATTTTGGGCTGTTCGTTGTTGATAGGAAGACATTGTGGCATGAGCTTTGTCAACACAATGTATATCTCAAGGATTAGGTACGTATCTCTTATGTTATTCCAAGTCACTTTTGATGATTTTATACATAGATTGTTCACCGAGTAAAGCTGAAACCTGATTTAATATGCAACACTTGAATGTTTGTTTCTACTATTTTCGAAAGATGCTTGAGTTTAGTGATAAGATATCATTCAAAGCTACGAGCACATAATATTTTTTTGGATTGATGGTTCGGTTTGCATACAATATATGCAAGGATGACATTCACACAAATTTCAACAGCAAATCACTTATTTAGTACGACAATGGTGAATGCTTGCATTACAATACATGGTGGGTTGGGTTCGAACACATCCTAATTCCAATAATGAAGGATAAGAAAGCACATTGGATACTTGGTCACTTCAACATCAAAGAAAGGACATTGTACACCAAGAATTCAAGTCGCTTAACAATGAGAGACAAGATGGTCATCGGCGATCTGGAGTTGTTTGCTTACGTATTGTCGTGTTTGATGGTTAATATTAATCTTTGGCAGCCTAAAGTCGCTGGTCGTATGGAAAGTCACGACTCTATTATAGTGAAAACTCATGATGGTATATCACATGACGATTACGATGAGTACATGAACAATTGATGTAAGCTTAGTATACACAAGTCACAATCACACTTTCAGATTCTATGTCATCACAAACTGTCCAGTTCAGTGATTGTCTAATATATTAATTTTTTACAATAAGTTGGATTTTACCTTACGTTTATTTTTAATTTTTTTCCCCACATTCATTGTCAAGCACAATTGCAGTTTATATGTGATAATGTTTCCTGAATATATTATCTACTAGAAGATCAACGTAATAGCAGATACCTTTGATGCAAAAATTATAAAATCACACTATTAGAAATAAAAATCATATCTAAAATAGAAATCAAATCTAGATGCAAACATCCTAGATTAAAATAACCAAAAGCCTAGGATCTACTTCATGCCAGAATATTAGGATTCATGGATTCGGGTTATATAC